ATGTATTTTGCATTGATATATTATTATATATAAAATTATATGATATAAAATTAAACATTGTTTTATTTTCATGTCAACTAAGTAAAAATTTTCATAATTGCAAGGTGAAAATAATATGAACAATTATTATTATTATTATTACTTATATGATAATGATGCTGATTAAATTATTAATAACAATAATGATAATAACAACATCAAACCTATTCAAAAATTATTTTCAGTAATTTAAATAAAATAAAAAAAATATCAGATGAGAAAAAAAATTTAAAACGTAAAATTAGAATCTAAACCTATTCAAAAAATTCATTTTTGATTTGAATTTTTTTGTTCATTGAAAAAAAAATTAAATTAAAATATAAAAAAATAAATAAAATAATTTACAAAATAATAAAAAGAAAATAAAATAGTTTTTTTTTTAAAATGTAAACCAAATTAGAAATTTAGAAATTAGAAATTTAAGTACTAAAATTACTAAAACAAACTAAAATTAAGCTAAATAGAAATATTAAAAAAATAATAAAAGTGATAAAAGCATATAATAAATTCACTAAAACATAAACTAAAATTAAAATAAAAACTGACAAAATAAAAATATTATGTTTCTTCTCTGAATCAAATAATTATTGAAGCTGATCACATGACTCTTTGTACAGACACTCATCGTCTTGCTTCCATTGAAGCAAAAAATTCTCTTTGGATCATCTCAAATCATACTGGAGAACATGATTATCAGGATTTGTTCATGTCATCATCTCATGTCGTTTTTATTTCTTTAAAGAAAAAAACATCAAATTCATCCTAATGTTTCAGTTCAGCTTAGAAGTGTTGTTCTTTATGCAAACTGTCATTTCTCATTTCATTTTGGAGTGAAATAACCAGTCTATTTCTCTACAGTTTTCATGAGATTCACCCACACACACATGCTCTCGCTGCCTGACATGAATGAAACATGAGTCAAAGTGTGACAGACATGAATGTTCTTGTTTGTGAGAAATTTTACAGAAAGTGAGAGAGAACATATAAGAGTAAAGATGCGTTTTGTGTGAGCTCAGCTCTGGGCCAGTCTGAAAGTGTGTGTTGACACTCACGTACACACACACACACACACACACACACACAGCATGTTCAGTAGGTTTTATAATCCCGTTTCAGCGCCATACAGCACACTAGGCTCCAAAAGCAAAGCAGCAGTCAGCCTCCAGCAGAGATTTGTTGGTCTAATCATGCGCAAACACATACACAAAGCACACAAATACACTTAAACACAACACAACACAGGCTCACAGATAACGCCGTTTTGCAGGCAACTCTTGAGCCACGGCCGAAACACAAAACGCTTTCCCAAAATATGCCAAAGCCTTTAGACATGCTAATATTCCATTACATGCATAATATTGTCAGGAAAGGTAAAGCAACACTGCTGGAGGAGAAATGTGTACCATCTACACCATCATTACAGCAACAAACACACACACACACACACACACACATATAATAACTCTTACATTATTGCTCAAAGCAAGCTGTCATGGTTAAAGGTTTACAACTAATGCTTTAACAAATGCTTGTAGCAATCTTGAATTTTAAGAACGTGGCTGACGGCAACAGAGGCGGCAGGAGTTTGGTGAATCTGGCACTTGGCTTCCTACATAGACAACATTTTTGGGTATCTTAGTGTAGACTACCTTCTAAGACACCTTATTTTGAAGTCTAGGGCAGCATCACATTCATTCTTTACATATAACTATCAATCAATCTATCAATCTATCTATCTATCTATAAATTACTGAATTACTGACCTCTTAATTATTTGATAAAAAGAATTTGGAATATGTATGTATGTATTTCTATTCCAAATTCTGAAAAATTTGCATATTAGAATGATTTCTGAAGGATCATGTGACACTGAAGACTGGAGTAATGATGCTGAAAATTCAGCTTTGCATCACAGGAGTAAACTACTTACATAATATTTTATATTGAAATTAATTATATAATACAATAGTGAATCATTTCATTTATAATAGCTGTATAAATAAGAATTATATAAAGAAATATTTTAATAAATTATATATAAATACATTTTTTTAACTATATAAAAATAGCAAACAGTAATTTTAAATTGTAACATATTTTACAATGTTCCAAATTTACTGTATTTTTTATCAAATTAATGCAGCCTTGGTGAGCATAAAAACAACTTCTTTTAAAAACAACAACAAAAAATCCTACCAACCTCAAATTTTAAATGGTAGTGTACATTGCATTTTACTGTACCAAATGCCAGTATCGATAAGGTAATGAATCAAATACCGAAAAACGTTAACTCCAATTAAAAATGAACAATTTTACCATTAAACATATTTCATAGTTCATATTTTAATTATGCAACTGTTCAGCTGACACAACTATGAAAATCCAACCTTTCAAAATAATTTCTGGTTATAAAAATCTCTTTGAAGACATGTTATGAAAAATATGCAAAGATTTCCACTAGGTTTCTTGCTGTATGTCATTACTAAATTTCTGAATCACTTAGGGTTAGGGTTAGAAAGTGAATGAGAACCATAAATCACAGATATCTGGCTAGATTTAGCTGGATTTACATGTGTATGAGAGTGTGTGTGTGTGTGTGTGTGCGTGCGTGCGTGCGTGTGTGTGTGTGTGTGTGAGAGAGAGAGACCTGCACCTCTCCGGTGGGTTGTATTTGCATGTAAGTGTATAAGTGTGTCTGTTCACCTACGGGATGTGAATGAATGCTGAAATAAGCAAATTAATCAAGGCTGAATGCATGTGCTGGGCTAGAGAGGCTGTTTTAATGAGTGTGCAGACTGAACACTAATGAGCTGACTCTAATAAGGGGATCTAATGAGTGAGTTGCCACGGTAGCAGGTACCCTGCGCGTGGTGTGTGCTGTTTTGCGGGACACGTGCCTCTCCGAACCAGACAGGCGGTCAGGAACATAAGTGTGTGCTAGGGAAAAATCAAGAACCTATTAATGTTGTAGGTAACACTTTATATGAACTTTCATTAATCATTCATTATAGTTATTATCAAACTAATCATCAGTTCTTAATAATGTTATAAAATATTTACTATACATACATATATCAATGTTTTCACAAAAATATGAAGCAGCACAAGTGTTTTAAACACAGTTATCATTTTACGGTTAACCACACCGTAAAAAATGACTGAATTTAACGGTAAAAGACTGTAAAAATGCTATAGTAAAAACCTGTTAAATGGTTAACGGTAAATTCCCCTACTATATACGGTGAAAAACTGTATTGGACATTACATGTAATTTTACGGTAATATACCATTTTTGGAAGTGAAAAAGACCGTATAATTGTGAATGACACTGTGCACCTTCTATATATGTTATTATTTAAAAGCTGCTTGTGATGGGCTTTGGTTCATCATGTGACTTTCTCATCACCACCTGCATTTGGTGGTTATCAGTGTATTACAAAGGTACAAAACAGATTTCAGTACTTCAATAGGTTGGTATATTAATATTATTTCAGTTAATGAAATTACGGTATTTAACTGTACATTTAAGTTAAAACCGTAAAACCTAAAATATTGCTACCGTGTTTTTATTGTAAAATTCCGGCAACCACAGCTGTAAATTATTTTTACAGTGCAGGGTTCAAAGTCCAAAGCATGAGGAAAATCTGCGCTGATACAGTCGTCAGTTGCTCAGTCACATTTTTATGAATTTTTACAAGGCATGTGACAATGCGATACGTACGACGTATTCGTAATGAGACTCATTTATAAATCTGTTGTCAACAAAAATAAGCATTGAGGTCTTCCTGCGCGTTTCCGCCAAAATAAAAGTTGAGAAAAAGCAAGAACTCTTATCAACATTCATAAATGTTAGCATTGTAATTTTACTGTTGTTCTGTGAAAATAAAATAAAAAGTAAGACAATAATAATGATAACTCTATTAATACATTTATTATAACATTCACACATAGTGTTCAAATTAGGTTCTGTAATATTTTCTAATGTTTTAAAAGAAGTTTCTTCTCAGCAAGGCTGCTTTTAATTGTACAGTAAAAAAAAAATACTTGCCTGATTCAAGAAGGGGGTCTGAAAAGTTATTATTTTACTAACTTATTAATTTGAAGTTAAATTGTGCTTTGTTGGTATAGTGTCTGCTAGAATGTTAAAAATGTTCAGTGTTAAACATTTTTAAATTGTTGTTTTGTAATTGATTTTTTTTTTCTTTGAAAAGCATGACAAAACAGTAAAAAGCAAATTTTGGCTTTTTAATTTATACAATGGTGGAAAAAAAATTGGCAAAATACATGGGGAAAAAAACTCTCGAAAAACCGTGTTCGGCCTTCGGCCCAGTGTTTAATTTTGTTCGGTTTCAGCCTCGGCCAAGAATTTTCATTTCGTGCATCCCTAGTCAGAATTCACTCTTTTAATTTATATTTTTATTTTTGCATAATACAACATTAATAGCCCTTCATAATTAGTCAAACTTTCCAATATAATGTAAAAAATAAAGAAAAATCATTGCTAAAATTGATATATTAAATACTATGAAAGACGTTTTATACTATATAGCTGTTTAATAGACTAACTACAACTGCAGACCTAACTTTTATTTCTAGTGTTTAATTTTGTTCGGTTTCAGCCTCGGCCAAGAATTTTCATTTCGTGCATCCCTAGTCAGAATTCACTCTTTTAATATATATTTTTATTTTTGCATAATACAACATTAATAGCCCTTAATAATTAGTCAAACTTTCCAATATAATGTAAAAAATAAAGAAAAATAATTGCTAAAATTGATATATTAAATACTATGAAAGACGTTTTATACTATATAGCTGTTTAATAGACTAACTACAACTGCAGACCTAACTTTTATTTCTTCTTGTCCTCCATTTATATTACACTTTTTTATCAATTATTACTACTTATAAAAAAAATTCACTCAAAATCCTTAATTTGTTTAACTGCAGTCCAGACAAATCTAATCCACTGGAATGTGTCCATCCTCACCCTCATTTAATTGTGTAGTGCTCATATTTCTGAATTCTTCCTCAAGGCAGGCCAGAGCCAGGAAATCCTCCTCATCCTCATCAGAGTCCTGGAGATCGAGCTGTTCCACAGTCTGGACCTCCATGATCTCCAGAGCGGCACGAGACAGAGGCCAGTTTGACGGGTCTGGACTATGAGTCCCGGCACTCAGGGGCCGAGAAGAGATTGGAGAACATCTGCTTATGGTGCCTAAAAAAGAATAACAATAGCTGGATGAGATTATGAGGGAAACATGAAGAAAACAGCTGCTAACACACCCTCTGATTTGATGGTCAGCAAGAGTTACACATCAAAGTTTAATAATTACGGTTAGAGGACTAACGCCAAGAATGAGCAACAATAATAGTGATGGTTGCCTACAGTTATACTACTAATAACTGTGACTAACGAGATAAAGAGATGATGGGAAAGGGAAACAGAGAGAGATGTTACAGCGTCTGACAGAAAATCACACACAGAAAGGCAGCGCTGGGATTGGCGGCTTAAGTTAACGGAGTCAGTATTATTTAGTCACCCGCCGTCCTCTGATCCAGAAAATCACAATAATACACTCACACACTTCTCTCTCTTCTATGTGACTTTTTCATCAAATTCCCTAGCTTCTTCTTGTCTTGTGTGATCTTTCTCTTGCTGATAGTGAAATTAACTCCAATTAGACGACTCTATGTTCACCGAACAGCGCTCAGCTAACATTACAGTAGTAGTGAGGAAACTGATTCAGACTTTTTAAACTTTTTGAATCAGTTCACCAAAATACTGTATCACAAAATACACTACTGTTCAAAAGTTTGGGTTGTGCCTGATTTTTGAGAGAAGTCTTTTATGCTCACCAAGGCTGCATTTATTTGATAAAAAATACTGTAATATTGTGAAATAATATTACAATTTAAAATAACTGGTTTCTATTGTAATATTTTTTAAATCATAATTTATTCATGTGATGCAAAGTTGAATTTTCAGCATCATTACTCCAGTCTTCAATGTCACATGATCCTTCAGAAATCATTCTAATATGCTGATTTGCTGCTCAAGAAACATTTCTGATTATTATCAGTGTTGAAAATGGCTTAAAATTATTGTGTGGCTTAATATTCTTATTGAAACCATGATGCATTTTTTTCAGGATTTTTTGATGAACAGCATTTATTGGAAATAGACACATTTTGTAACATTATAAAACTCTTTACTGTCACTTTTGATCAACTGAATGCATCCTTGCACAAAATTATTATTTTAAACATTTGAGCAATACTGTAGAAGCTAAATCAGATTCCTTCATTGAAAAGATATATTTAAAAACCAAGTAGTTCACAACTGAAATGCCCAGGTGACACAGCATTTGTGATCATGTATTAGCTGATATCGCTTCCCATGATTTGGACTCGGGAGGCCGATGGCTTTGAGTATCCTCTGATGCAAAAGGCTCAATCTAGTGTGTCGAACCTGACACAAGTATATGAGATATATAGAGAAAGAACGGGAGAGAGAGAGAAAAAAAGAGAATGCATGGACGGATATCTGACGCTTTGATTTGCACCAGCTGAAATCACAGCTGTCATGCTGTTAAACAGATTATTTTTCCCTCCTCTGCAGACCTGCAAGTGATGAGCCGAGAGACAGAGAGGAAGACGTGTCGAGAGGTAGAGAAAGCTAGACTGATAAACCGAGCTAGCAAGCTGAGCTGATCTGAGCTGAGCCGAGAGATTGAGGAGCATGCCGTTGGCCGCATTCCCTGCACTCCCGCACACGGCAACACACAGTAATCTCTTTATGAAACCTCAGCCGCTTGTGCTGGCGCAGGAAGCTCAGGAATCAGCTCGGCTTTAATTACGGGCACAAGCCAATAAATCACGCCACGGCTGAGCGTCAGCGCGACTCTTCTACAGCCATGTTATTGATGTCCCGTTGGCCATAACGCCGTGTCCGAAGGGTTGGCGGAGGCTCTCTGTAAATTATCGTTTAGTCACGGCAAACATATGACATCAGACAGGCTCAACATCTTAAACACAGATTTAGCCGCATAAATCTGGATTAAGTCTGCACACAGAGGGGGAAATTAAGAAGACAGATGAAGACTTTATTTTACTCTAAGGGCCTAGATTTGGGAAATAGACCACAGGATGTGATTAATACGATAGGTAGTCTCGATTAAAGGGACAGTTCAACCAAAAAATTCAAAGTCATTGTTTGCTCATCGTCATGTAGTTCCAAACCAGTTTGAGTTTCTTTCTACATTGGAACACTCAAAAAGGGAAATTTTCCTGTCCATTCAATAAAAACAGACAGTGACCAGACGCTTTCAAACTCAAAAAGCACCATAAAAGTAGTTTATACGACTTGTGTGTTATATTATTATAATAGTTTATTTTCTTGAAAGAAATTAATTTTTACCCAGCTAGTATGAATGCATTCAAACTGATCAAAAGTGACAGTAAAGACATTTATAATGTTACAAAAGATTTTTATTTCAAATTAGTTTTTTTTTTTTTTACTTTTATGTTCATATTTTCAAAATATATATCATGGTTTTAATATAAAACAGCACAACTCTTTTGAACATTGCTAATGATCAGACATGTTTCCTGAGCAGCAAATCAGCATATTAGAATGATTTCTGAAGGATCATGTGACACTGAAGACTGGAGTGATGATGCTGAAAATTCAGCTTTGATCACAGGAATAAATTACATTTTAGAATATATTAAGACAAAAAAACAACTTATTTTGAACTGTAATGATATTTCACAATATTACTGCATTTTGATCAAATAAATGCAGCCTTGGTTAGCATAAGAAACTTCTTTCAAAAAGATTTAAAAAACCATACTGATCCCATATTTTTTTTTTATTCCATGTTTTCCAGAATTTCTCTGAGCATTTTGTTTTCAAAATGTTTATTTGTGGCCTTTTTTTGATAAGACAGTCTGAGAGCAGGCATAAAATAATGAGAAACAAGATATGACATAACATGTCAACGGAACAGAATGAAGTTATATTCTTCACAGCCTCTTTTTCATTCACATTTCACATCAAATTAAATCTGGTGTCTACACCCATGTCTGTTGTTTTACAAGAAATGAAAGCAAATTACCTGAGAAACACAGCCTCTGTGATGACATTCTGCCACGGCATGGTGTGAACGGACGAGGGGTGCTATTGATGGGCTGAGCGTTCATCAGCGCAGTGACCAGCTCTCCCTCTGCGTGATGCTGAAGACTGCTGCTGGATCTCCAGGACTCCTGCCCTACAGCTACAAATAAAACAAACAATGAGATCTCCACACAGCAAGACAACCATCATCATGTGGTCTTGAAGATAATCAGAGCTAACATATAGTTTACTAGAAGGTCCACAAGTTATTGTACATCACAGCTCTAAATATTCACACTCAACGTGTAAACCTTCTAACAATATCCCAGTAGATGCAGCCTTAGATTAAACGTACTCAGCATCACAAGGCAAGAGGACCACATTCAAACAAACACTAAAGTGATTTTAGTGCCAGTGAAAATAAGTTTGTGTGCACATGATGCACCAGCTATCTGACCTCTACATCCACTTCTCTTTGTCACCATCAACACTAAGATTAAGGTAAATATTATGCTGGTAATATTTTATCTAATAATAAATAGTTAACTTTCAGAATACCAGTTGATACTGCACTACACGAAACACTGAAAATATGCAGCTTCATTTTCATGCAACTTTTGGATGCTAAAAGAAAAAGTAAGGAAATATATTATGCTCAAAGAAAATTAAACTTACTGTATATTTAGGTCCGTTAAGCTTATGCATTGTAACAGTATTTTCATGACATTTAAGTAAATATTTCTCCGAAATTCTCATTCTCATTCATATATATGTGTGTGTGTGTGTGTGTGTGTGTGTGTCCACACAGTTTTTCTTAATTTTTATTTCAGTTGTTCAGTTTTAATCTTAGTTATTTTAGTACAAGTTAAACTAAATTAAAATGAGAAATGTTGCCTTGGCATCTAGCTAAAATAAAATGTTTTTTATATTTTGTTAACATTTATTTTATTTCAATAAATTATTTTTTTATGGTTTTAATTTTAGTTTCAGTTTTAGTTTTCTGTGATAACAGAACAGATTCTATAATAACCCTGATTTAATTAAAAAAAAAATTATGACAATGCAAATTATCTTAATGTTAATGCAAATCGGCTTTGTTTTCTTTAAGCAAAATATAATTTCTTATTTATTTCTTTTGGTATGATTTTTGTGTGAAATGTGATCTGGGCATGTTCTTGACAGGTTTTAGAGATTCTTCTTATCATAAGTGACTTGCAGTACACTCGTTACAGGAACTGATCTAACCTAGCAGTTCATTGCTCACTCGTTTTTGGTTTCAAACCAGCAACCTACTGGTAACAAACCCCAAACTTATGCTGGAAAACCATGCGACTGTGATAGCCTGACTTGACATGCAGACAGTGAGCGGTTGAAGGTTAAACATGTGTGCCGTCCATCGCCATCTTAAACGCCTGCTGTAATTAAGCCTTTTTCCAGTCGACTGGCCGCTGCTCCTGTCAGTGTACGTCAGGGATTGCAAATGCACAGAAAGGCCGATAAAAACGGCTCGACTGTGACAGAGACAAAAAAAGATGGGAAAAGGAAAAGACTGCAGGAAATTGATGGAGAGACTTTCCAGCCAATAAAAACAGAGATGACCGAGACCGAAGTGAATCAGGGACTTATTTGTCCTCTGTTTTCATTAACATTGAAGCTCAATGAACCAAGCAGATGCTTCATTTTTTACGGTATATTAGATAAAAAAGTCCCTTTGCATATTTAGATTCCGCATACTCAAATAATGGATTTAAATAGAGCTGTTTAAAAAGAAATATTCGTGTTTACAGTCAAGCTAATGGCCTCGCCAAGGTAGCACATTAACGCTGAGGAGCTAAAGGATAATACCAGGAAATGACTGAATGTATAATTTATACTCATCTTTAAGCTAGCAGCTCTCTTCAATGGCCAATCTATCTAAGTATGCAATAATTACGTATCTAAATAACACGACTAAATAATGCACTGTTAGGAGAGATGTCTTTGGTTCTCATTAAAGCGTGGTCATATATTAGTGTTGGAAAAAAGCGCTGCATTCCAAATGTCTTATCTCTATTATTAGAGCATAAAGGATGTATTCATGTTGGGAAAGAAGTAAATAGCGCACAGTGGATGTTTTAACTAACACCTAGTATTGCATTTGCGGTAAGTAAGGTTTTATAGGCATGACTTGTGAGGAGTGTGTACACTACTTTTTAAAAGGTTTTTTTTTTTGAAGACATTATTTTATTCAGCAGGGATGCATTAAAATGATCAGTAATAACATTATAAATATTACAAAAGATTTCTATTTCAAATAAATGCTGTTTTCTATTCATCAAAGAATCAAAACTACATCATGGTGGTTTTCACAAAAATATTAAAGCTCCGTTGAGAATATGCTAATCTTGCATATTGATTGTTTTCAATGTCGATAATAATAAGAAATGTTTCTTGAGCTGCAAATCAGCATATCAGAATGATTTCTCTTCAAGATTCTCTTGTGATGCTGAAGACTGGAGTTATGATGCTGAAAATTCAGCTTTGATCACAGGAATAAATGACATTTTAAAATATATTCAAATAGGCCATAGTTATTCTAAATTATAAAAAAATATTTCACAAGATTGCTGTTTTTATTGTATTTTTTATACAATAAATGCAGCCTTGGTGAGCATAAGAGACTCCTTTTATTTTAACATTGAAAAATCTTAACCGACCCCAAACTTTTGAAAGGTGGAGTTTTTAAAATGACATCTGATCCATTATTAGGATTCAGACTTTGTCGGTTACGAGAGTTTCCACGGCAGACTTCCTTTTTTGAAATTGTTAACCTCTGGTTTCCGTCCGATCATGCGGTATCATGCAGTATAATCATGCGGAAAATGAGCCTATTTTCAAAAATAGTGGAGTGTTCCTTTAACTCAACAGAGCTCTGTTATTTCTAATAAAATACATATTAAGTGTACTTGTGCTCCTGTGAAAAGAAGATAATCTGCTGCAAGGTCAGTTCTTACAGAATAATGTGCTGTTTGTACAGTAACACTTAACTATTATGAACCTTACTGAGGTCTAGACAATGTTTCATGTCTGTACGAATGTCATTAAGGCATCTTGACCCAAACATCTCAGGTGCACTACATACGGAAATGTCAAGAGCTTCCTCATAATGGCAGGATCCAAGCTGACTGACTGATTTTATAGAATTTCCACTTGTTTTAATAGCAGTATCTTGCCCTCTAATCCTCAGCAGTCTTTATCTTGTTTTTTTTCTATATACCTAGCAAACTCCCTGTGTGGTTCTGCTCTTCTCTAGAGGTTTGAGCTGGAGCTGGGCTGGGCTGCAGGACTCCAGGGTCCAGTCCCAAAGTCAGGATCCCCTCTAGGTCTTGGTACTGCCCCGACTGGATGTCCTGTCGCTGGGCTACAGAATGAATGGCCTGTGGGAGAGAAGAAAATAGAAAGAACATTAGTCATTAGTGTTCAATGACATGGCGCTGATGTATTCAAAATTACATAAAAATGCAATTTATACAGACAATGACTTGAATACTTCTCTTATATGTTGAAAATGTTTTAAATTTCTGCATTAAAATTAATTTAACATTTCTGTCAGGCTTAAAGTACAAAAATGTCTGGATGGTAATTGTCGTGAGATCATAATAAATAAATAAGAAAAAATTGTAATCAAAAGGCTACTATTGTTTTTTGTTTTTTTTAAGTTATCTGTTATCATTCACATTTATCTCAGTACCATATACACTAACCTTTAGGGCTGCACAATTAATCGAATTTCTAATCGCAATTACAATTATGGATGCCACAATTACGTAATCATTCAAAGTTCACTTATGTTATTCTTCATGCTTAAGATATGTTTTTTTCTTTCTACGTGTTATCTTAAGGGTTTTTCCATTGTTTTAGTTTTAGTATAACATTATAATACCATTCATATTTTTACTTTTTTATAATTTAAAGAAGAAACCAATCCGATGTATAGTTGACATTTGAGGCTTAATACTATAGAAAAGCACTAAAGGTTTTTCAGTTAGAGTGTTTTCAGCTTGTTTATTTTCATATAAAAGTACGGCATGCAGTTGAATCAAACAATGGTATAAACATTGTTACAATTTCAATTTCAAGGGAATAATCAACAATTATGATTTTTGTCATAATCGTGCAGCCCTAGTTTAAGGTCAGAAAGACTTTTTAATGTTTTTGAAAGAATGTTCACCAAGACTGCAGATTTAGTATTTGTTGTTTTATGCAAGACTGAAGTTTTAGTATTTATTTTTCTTTCTTTTTTTACATTATATTGTTAAGTTACCAATTATAAAAAATATAAAATTGGTAAAATACCAATTATTAAGGGCTATTAATCTTGCATTATGCAAACATAAAGATATATATTAAAAAAAGTGAATTCTGAAACTGCTATTTGTTATTGAATAATAACCAAATTAATTATTTTATATATATCTACTCATATCCATATCATATATCCATATGGGGTCATATGGTTCTGCAATGAAATTCTATTTTAGTAACACTTTCACCAAGTGACACACTCACCAAGTCTGCATTTATTTTAAATAAAATACAGTAAAAATCAGTATATTGTGAAACATTATTACACTTTAAAACAACTGCTTTCTATTTGAATATATTATAAAATATAATTTATTCCTGTGATACAAAGCTGAATTTTTAGTATCATTACTTCAGTTTTCAGTATCACATGATCCTTCAAAAATCATTCTAATATGCTGTGCTATTTGTGCACAATAAACATTTCATATTATTATCAATATTGAAAACAGTTGTGCTGCTTAATATGCAGGATACATTTTTCCAAGATTCTTTAATGAATAGAAAGTTCAAAAGAACAGCATTTCTTTGAAATTTTGTAACAACGTAAAAGATTTTACTGTCACTTTTAATCAGTTTCATGCATCCTGCCTAAATAAAAGTATTAATTTATTTTAAAAGAAAAAAAAATAGTGTACTCTGCCTGTTTATGGTCATGTTTTGCTAACTTTTGGGCATTTAAGCACGTTTTTATCTCTTATGCAGGTTAAATTAGGCCGAATTTAATTTGTCAATTTCAGATGGAGCGCATGGACAGACAGAGATCTTTTTACAAGAAAAAAAAATTGTTTTAAACTGAAAGGAAATGAGAAACAATTATGTTTTGATTGAATTCCAGTCGGTGTCCTTTAAATGGAAAATGAGGTAGGGGAAAAAGAATCGTTTATATAATAATATTTCACAGTTTGTATTCTATTTTTGATTAAATGAATGCAGACTTGGTGAGTATAAAAGACTACAAATATTTAAAAACCACAAACATCTTGTATACTAACTGGTCTGAATAGTGGGTTGTGGGTAACCTGTTACAAGTAACTGAGGTTGAGGAATCGACAGGTCTCTGATCACCTGAGAAGATCCTGTAAACAGGTCCGATTCTATGTTGTCATGTTCTGACTTTGTGAGGTTTGTGAAAGTGAAATGAGGGTCTGCCAGAGGGGTTGTGGTGGGACACAGAGAGGGAAAGCCATTCTTTTGTTCTTCTGCATCTGTGATTCGTCTCAGTTCTTCATCAGATGAGTCTTCCTCACTGGGCACCAGGCAAGCATCTTCACCTGTCATTTCCTCTTCTGAATCTGAGCAGTGACAAATAGTTAGAGAGGAGAAACCATGAGGACAGGAGGAGAGAAAACATTGAGACGTTCCGGCAGGAGGCCGGCAGTGAGGATGCAAACGCGCACCCTTATCTAACGCTCGCAGTGAGCCGCCTGCACATGGTCTAGCAGAGCTTGCGTGTTTCTCTTCCCTGCTTCCCGTCTGCTGCCTCCTGCATTAATAATGCTTATCCTACACAGCTTGAAGTTTCCATCACTCTGCTAGTCAGCAAATACTGCAGAAACAACCGCTGTGTGAACGAAGGCTGATGTCTACTAGTGTTTTCTCATCATCTTTACTCTCTGATGCAGATGTGCTGGACCCCAAGGGATGGGCAAATCAGGTTTTTGTCATTTATTAAGTATTTTTTGAATGTTTATCAAACAGCTCTTTGGAATACTTGATTTGGATTGGTTATTCATGCATATATGATTGTACAAAGATGATAAACTGTATAATTGTCCTACACCTCCTTCATAGCTGCACTAGTTTCATGTCTCTCTTGTCACACCTCAAATTCATATTTCATGCCATACACAAACATGACCCTGAACTTTTGAATGGTAGTGTATATGTTACTTATTATTTATTGTACATTTGTGTCTTTTACCATATTGGTGTTGCCACCATTTTATAAAATCAACAAGCCACTTGTATGTTTACAGTGGTTTTGCATTGGTTAAATGCTAAAGGCTTTACATTTTGCCTAATAACACCTCTTAAGCATAGTAAAATCTGTAATGCACAGCCAGCTTCAAGTGGTATATTGGTTTTAAATATATTTAAACTGCTATTAATTACAAAGGAAACAGTCTACATCACTCACAAACATTTTCGAAGGATAATTATAAACACAGAGGCTCAAGCACATCATGGAAGACAAACAAAATTGCAATTAGACACTGCCAACTAACATTTTCAATGTTCAGACAACTTCAATTAAAATCTACCAATGGAAATCATACTAACCTGACATGCTCAGCTGTAAGGACAGCACTGTAGTTTTGGGTGACCTCCGTGAGGCCTTTAACCATTTGGAGGCCGGAGGTGAACGGTGCCCGTCAGTATGAGAGGATTCAGCTCTCGGCGTAGAGGACCTGATGGAGTCATAGGTAGGCATAGCAGATGTACTTCTATCTGAGACTAATGCAGACTGTGATGATTCTCTAGGTGATGGCTTTAATGAAGGAACTGCGGCGCTTGGGGAAGTGATAGCAAATTCTGAAGACAGCTGAGCTAATTTTGGTTTAGAATCAGGTGTTGAATGAGCAGGTATGGATTGGATTGGGTTGACTGGAGAGGAAGCTGATCTAGACCTTGGGGATGGAGAATCTGGAGGTTTTGGACTTTGTTTAGAGATGAGAAATGCAGGAGAATGACTTTGAGAAGACCTAACAGACGGCACTCTACCAGGAGAGGGGCTGACAGTGGAAATATGGTCCTCAAAGCCTAAGAGAGTTTGATTTAATTTGGTTTTTGGGAGTGAAGGAGATGATGTTGGCAGAAGCTCTGAGGGTTTATCCTGTTCTGCTGAAGAAGATCTCGTCCGTGGACTTGGTTTTGGAGAGTCACTGAGTTCCACTTTCTGGCCTCCTGTTTGTGAATTCAACAGAAATGGCTCTGAGGTAGTCGACAGGTGCTGTGATCTCTGAAGCCTCGTTTGAAGTGGAGAGAAGCTTTCTGATCTTGGCAATGATGACGAAGATTGTGTGGCCTCTTGAAACGGCGGCCACATCTCAGGAGAAGAGTTGATTTTTGTGTCAGAATTACATTCACTGAAGGATTCTTTGGTCATCTCTGAGAAGGACGGTGTGGAAGGCAAGACCAAATATCCAAAATCTCCTCCTTCAGATAAATCTTCATTTCCAACAGCTGCAAACCTTAAGGAAGAAAAACAGACATGCATATACTTTGTATAACATCTAACAACTTACTCCCACAGTTAACAGTCTTATTTTAAGTCTAGTTGTGGCTGATATAAATGTAAATGTCAACATGACACTGTATTTGTGTCAGTCCTCAACAACTTCAATAATATTGTTGCTTCAAGACGACACTCCTACTGTGAACTTTTCTGTCGCTTCCTTTCAAAAAGTCTCATTTTTGCCTTGATCTTGTGTTTCTTACATTTTGCTCTCATTTCCCTGCTTGACTCCAAAGGATCTGTACAATGTAGCGTCTCCAGCCATCTTCTGGAGAAATTAAAGTGATAAAAACAGTGGTTGTCAGAAGAAGACACAGCATCATCAGCGGGAGCGATCGTGAAGAGAGAGGTAAAGTATTTATGCAACTCCATCCGCTCTGCTGCAAATCAGAGATGCAGTAAAACAGATTTATGTTTAGAGTTAAACACTGAAATTAAATCAGCTCAATGTTCAGTTTCTGCATACTTATTCATAATACAGAGTGACAGATCTCCAGATTTATTTCAGTCCATGCCCTGTGAAAATTATTTTTTTATTTTTTTAAGACATTCATTTATTTTCTGAATAAATACCCCATCCGTGCACAATTCATTCATGCATATTACTTAAAGAAAAAAATGTTTTCATAATATTTCAAAATACACTACTGTTTAAAGATTTGGTATCAGTTAGATTTGAACACTTTTACCAACAGTAAAGACATAATGTTAATTTTGTTTAAATAACATAATTAATGTTTAAATTTACTGCATTTAAATAACATTTTTAAAAAATCTTTCAAATTTTCTACTCGTCAATGAATACTAAAATTGCACTGTTTTTCAGTTACTGTTACAGTTACAGTTGCTGATCAAATAAATGCAGTCTTGGTGAGCATAAGACTTTTGAATGGTGGAGTATAATACATTTTCCACCTTTGAAAAAATGATTTTTTTTTTCTGATGATGTAAACAAGGCCGTGGACATGGGGAAAAAATAACAAATACAATAATTTAATGATCTTATTAAATTCTTGCCACATATTCTGTTCACCACAATTTTTTTTTACCTATTTCAACTTAAAAACTTTAGCTCAGTTGCTGCCTTAAATTTGAAAGTATAATCAGCTTGGTAGTACAAGTCATTTCAACGTAAATTACATTAAACTGACTAAAAAAAAATCAAGTTGAATTTCATATAACTTAAAAAAGTTGAAATCGCTTATTTTGATGAGTTAAAGTAATGTAAATACATAAGTTGCCATAACTTACTGATCATATCATTTTTAAAAAAAGTGTTTTGGGTGTGAGCATCATGGAGATGGGCTTTAGAAAAGATGTGACAGGCTCGGGCTGGTGCTGACGAAGAGAGACGGCACTCATCGTGGGGCTGTTTGGGAAAAGCTGAAGGTGGTCAGTTCTTTGACAGCTGTGATCAGCTGGCCTCTCAGCAGCACCTAGAAACTTCTCTCAATCAGCTCTGTGATTACCCTTCAGGGACAGAGTGATGGATCCGAGTTGCCAGCTGTGAGAGGAAAGCTGCCCTCTGCAGTGACTCTTAAAGCTCATTTCTCCAACTTTTTTGAGAGAGAGCACTTCTACGGGTCTATGTGAATCGCAGCATGTACACAACCGGTCACACACCATTCCTTGCCATCCATGGTCGAACTCAGGTATGACGATATGACAAGTTTCCAGTGACCAAAAAAAATAAATAAATAAATAACAATTGTATATATATATATATATATATATATTTTATATATATTTCTATATATATAATTTTTGCAACCGTATTTATAATACATATACTGTATCTGGTCCTATTTTGCACAATAAATTCACATCAACAAACAGTTGACGGTAGCCATTGACTTCCATTGTATTTTTTCCATACTATAGAAGTCAATGGCTACAATCAACTGTTCGGTTACCAACATTTTTCAAAACATCTTCTTTTGTGCTTAACAGAAGAAAGAAACTCATACAGGTTTGGAACAACTTGAGGCTGAGTAAATGGTGAGTAAATTATGACAGATTTTTGGGGTGGGTTATCCCTTTAAATGTTTGCAAGAAAAAAAGAAAAAGAAAGGTAAATATGAGCAAAGAAGAGCAAAAATCTAACCTTTCACTGAAGTAAAACAATTGAAAGTGGGGGGAATATAATTATGAAATTGATGTTTTTCTCCAATACACGTTGGCCACAATTATTAGCACCCCTAGAAATTCATATTTCCATTTTCTTGACCTTTAATTTACCAAGGGGGCTAATAATTCTGACCACAACTGTGTATATATGTATATATATATATATATAAACAAATAAATAACATAAATATGGTAAAAAGTGATTTCATGTTTTAAATTGTGTGACGTGAATGTCTATTATCAGTTTACTGTTTACTTGCGTGTGTGTGTGTGATGAAACGGGCCACACCTGTCAGTTTTCGGCTCAGTTCCTCCGTCTCTGTGGGTGGAGGTGTGGGTGGTTCCGGTTGGCGTTGGACGACAGACCGGGGCTGAAATTCTTCAATTTGTCCTCTGAGGGAGAGAAAATAACGCTGCTCCCAGTAAATCACACTCAGAAATTTGAGGATAATTAATCAGGCTCCCTTTCCTCAATGGTGCAACTATAAATAAACAACATTTCAGCACAGCACAGCACTTTAGTAAAAGATTTATCCTCCTCTGAAAAAATATTTCCCCAGTAGGAAAAAATAACATTAACCAATAATGTTACAGCCGGATATGTTTCACTTCCTTTCAGCTTTTTTTTTTCCTAATCGATTCCTGATGTATAAAATCAAGCCTTGCCCTACATTATTTTAGGGATGTGTACAACTACACATTTTCAAAAACAGCTAGTTGGTGGGCTGCCTGATTTAGTCAACTTGTCAATGTTAATGAAGGTCTGTAAAATTAGGCCACTTTTGGATCAAGTTCTCCAAATACAATTGAGTGTCGTAGCGATATACTGACACTAAGAATAGTGTAGCTGAGTGACATACCATGACTTATGAATGTGACAAATACATAATCATTTTTAAAATATATATGTTTTTGTTCTAGTATATTTTTATATTTATTTTCTTGTTTTCTTCTTAACTTCCTTGAAACAAAACAAATTTACTCTAAGAAGCAAAATGAGATGTTAAGGTCTAAAAGTTTTTGAGGTTTATGAGCAAGAAAAGTAAGAAAAACCTGTTTGCCATAGTTTGTTTATATATGAATACTTAAATATTTATAGCGAAAAACAAGATGTTCTTGCAGCATATACTATTAATTATTGTAATAATTATGATAACAATAATAAAAATAATAGAAGTCTCCTTTTGCTTAACAAGGCTACATTTATTTGAAAATTATTAAAATTTAAAAGAACTACTTCCTATTTTAATACATTTTAAAAAGTAATTTATTCCTGTGATCAAAGCTGAATTTTCAGCATCATTACTTCAGGCTTCAGTGTCACATGATCCTTCAGAAATTATTCTAATATATTGACTGGCTTCTCAAGAAACATTTCTTATTATCATCATTGTTAAAAACAGTTGATCATGATACTTTTTTTCAGGATTATTTGATGAATACAGCATTTGTTTAAAAAAGCAAACTTTTATAACATTATAAATGTATGTACTGTCACTTTTGATCAATTTAATGCATCCTTGCTTAATAAAAATATTTATTTCTTTAAAAAAATATTACTGGCCCCAAACTTATGTCACATTATGAAAGTTAAATGTAAAAGCTGTTTCAACAGAGCATACAAAGAATGTATTCTCTCTTCAGTTAATACAAGGAAAGCGACATCATTTCAATCCAATAACAAATGAAAGCGGCTGAAGGAAGTTGATGAGCCAGACTTCCTGGGTCCGAGAGTAAATCTCAGCTCAGCCAGATTCCCCTGATCCACAGGTTTAGTCCTTTAAACCTTTCCCTTCCTTTTCCCGGCGATTTACCATACAAACGTATCTCTCTTTTATTCGTTGTGCTCTCGTCTCCCTTCCCGAAGCCAACTCTTGCTGCCTCAGCAGGACAACCTGCTTTCCTCATTGTGTGTGCGTGTGTGTGTTTGTGAGCGTATGAAGGGATTAGACACCCCTATCACACACTCCATTCCTCCAGAGTGTGAGCTGCAGCCCTGGGCCACACGTCTGCCCGCCTCCCACAGAACCCAAACACACAAATGCACATGCTGGAAAAATCCAGCTTCCTGTTCCGTTATTCTTCACACAAGAAGGCAATTTAACGGATTCACAATTAGACCTTTCTTGAATAGCCGACCTAAATACCATCGCTGCCACAGATACCATAATGCTCAAGAAGCCCGAGAAGCGGTTCAAAGCACTTAGGAGGGTTTACAGATACTGTGTTTGTGTGTTTTGCTCGCTTTTGTCAGGCTTTCTCATTTCGTAGGCGGGCAGAAGAACTGTTTCACTGGCTCTGTTTCAAAACTTAGTGTGCTGCCTACATAGACGGCTGTCTTCAAAGGCAGCACCCTAACTGAAATGGAAGCTTGACTGATCTAGAATGTACTACACAGTGTTATTTTAGTATTATTTATACACTGTTAAAAGTTTTAGTGTGAAATTACAGTATTTTCCAGGTTAATATTTGCATTACTTTCACAGTAATTTCACAGTGGGACTTGAACAGCATCATATTGTGTTTCTACAGTGCATATGTACTCTGAAGGCACCTAGCATGCAATGCAGGATGGATAGATCATGCTGAAGATTTTTTTAAATTCTTGTTGGTTTTATTTGTGCTACTGAACTTGTTTTTGGTTCACTTTTAGCCATTTGTGCTGTTTGTTTATTTTGTAATATTGATTTATGTTGTAAGTGTTGTTTTTATTCGTTGAGTGTTACCATTGTTGTGTTTTGTATGTCGAGTATTGATGTCACATCTTTCAAAGACGTTTCTCAGCAGTTGTTTCACTACTGTGAAATATCCATCCACAAACAGTTCTGAATATGAAATAGGTTACTGATTAATCTTCATGCTTAAATAATGCTTAAATAAAATCTTCATGTTCATGCTAAGAATAATTCAACTATCTTCAACTAAAATCAGGCAATTTCATATTCTGGCTTATTGTCATTTTAACAACTGTTTTCATTTGTTACACTTCCGATATGACTAGATCAGAAATTCAAATATGAATATGCAAGGTCAAAGAGCCCAGACATATGGGCTCACCATTATGGTGACTTCAAAACAATAACAGTATAAACATCTAAATTTCTCACAGTGGCACAGTTAAAGACAACTTTATAATGTGAATTCACAGTAAACAAAAAGCAGTAAATTACTGTGATGTTAGCATCATTCTGCTGTTCATTCACAGTCAGTTGTAAGAAAATAACCCAGCATGCATTGATTTCACTGTATTGTAAAAATAATACTCTTTAATCCTGTAAATTCCTGCCAATTTTGTACAGTGTATACTATTACAGTCTTTAAGTCAAGTCAAGTCACCTTTATTTAAATAGCGCTTTATACAATACAGATTGTGTCAAAGCAGCGTTACAGTGTCAAACAGGAAAATAGTTTGTAAATAATGCAAGAGGACAATAACAAAGAGTCCTTTTTCAGCTAAAGTCAATATTTCTTTTTATTAATACTTTGAATTAGCTTTTGTTTTTATATTTTCAGTTTTCATTTTAATTTTAGTAATTTTGTTATGTGCGTTTTTCGTTTTTATTCGTTTTTGTTTTTTAGCTTTATTTTTAATTCAGTTTTAGGAATTTTAGTACTTCAACATCAACTTTTTTTTTATTTTTTTCAGTTAGTTTCCAAGGCAACATTTCTCATTATTTAGGGTTAGATTTTTCGTCTAATATTTATACTTACTATACTATATTTCCCTTTAAAGGGGTCATATGATGCGATTTAAATTTTTCCTTTCTCTTTGGAGTGTTACAAGCTCTTGGTGTATAAAGAAGATCTGTAAAGTTGCAAAAATTAAAGTCTCAAATCCAAAGAGATATTCTTTATAAATGTGTTTTTTTAACCTTAAACCGCATAAACACATTTCATTACACCAAATACACCAAATAATGTTCTTTTTAGCTACATTATATGACCCCTTTAATTTAAATACGTTTCAATTACGCTTCAATTACATTTCTCTCATTTAATTGATTATTGGATAATTTTTTAACAGACCTTATCGCAGTGCATTCTGGGATTGCATTCTCTAAATGAGTGCATTAGTGTCAGCCCATTATTTTCACTGCCATTGGTTCCGGAAGTACTTTTTCCCATTCATTTTTCCTATAGGGATTTTAAAAATGTCTACATTAAAGATTTATAAGCCATGAACCAAAACAACCAACACAACAAAGGTGAATCACAAAAAAGTTACAAGACTCTGTACTAAACAGCTTTAGTGAGGGGGGAAACTACAATCCCATGAAACATTGCGAATGACAAAACAGAATTAAAAACAATGGTGAAATATAAAACTATCCATTTAAAGTTGTTGATTATATCTAAAGAAACAATATATTTTATTGCAAAATATGCATATACATACAAATATTTAAGAATTTTGAGAGAGCTCACAACAGATTTGTCTTTAAAGGTTTATAAGTTATCATTAAAAATAAATTTCCTTGTGAAGAAAATCAATGGAGTTTTTACTTCTTACACTTAAGTGTTGCACTCTATGCTTCCTTAGAATACCAAAATAAGCCATCTTAGAAGGCAGCATGTTGCTCCCTACTATTTGGAACAGGCTTCATGTTAGGAGTGTGCCTATGATGCCTTAAAATGGTCCCTACATAGGCAGCTCACTAGGTTTGTGTGCCGGTGTGTTTGTTTAAGGAAGATTTGACAAAGTTAAAGCAATACCATGGGGCTTTGGTGCTGATTAGCTCAATAAATTCAAGTGACTCGGCAGTGGCACAACTTAAAGGTGAGGCTGTATAATTAGCAGCCATAAGTCATTCATTGATCTTAAATGGGCCTTAATTGGGGCCTGGGAAGGTAACTGAAGCTTGTAATGCTCTTATTCAATGTGTGTCTGTTCGGTTATAAAGTGTGAGGTGTCAAGCACTAACCTGCGGTGCTTTTTCAAGAGGAGTTTCTCCATGTAGCTCAAAGTGTCCTCCTTGAACTCCACATAAATTAACGGCTGGGATCCTTTCTCTGTTTGTGTTTCCATCACAGACACTAGAGAGAAAACCACACCAATCAAGCCTTCAGTCAAAACTCTGTGTGTACAGAACAGGAAAATAACCGTATTTACCTGAAGTGTGCATGTAGCCTAGAAGTCGTTCAAACACTCTTAACCCTTTCCTTTTTAGCTTCATGCAAACCTCTAAAGAATTTATATTAAACAAATACTCAAGAGACTAAATGAGAGAAATAAGCCGTCTGGTGCAGAATTCAAGCAGTACTATAGACATAA